AGCTGTTGATTGGAACAATCCTTATGGTGTTACAGTGTCAGGTACAACACTTCCCTTCTCTTCACACGCTGGTTCTCTTTGTTACCTCAGCTTCTTCTTCTTCAGTAAAGTCATTCTTGATATTGAAGTTCTCGTGAATCTCCTCAGAAGTTTTCCCCTTGATCATATTGGCAACAGCCTTGCACGGAACGTCATGCAAACCTTTGATGTCTGGGGAGTTTGCAGCCAGAACAAGTTAAAAAAAAAAAAGTGTTTCTGGGTCAACTTTCAGGAGTTCTCGGTCCCAAACAAGGGTATCATCTGTTTGCTTTCTTTGTTCTCAGCATCTTCAGGAAGAGGAGAGTCATCCCTGGGGTGAGGGCACCACTGAGAGATCTTCCTAAATATTGTGTGTTGACGTTTGGTGGAGGAACTGGGTCATCATCTCCTCCCTCATCCACTCCCATATCTTCCAAAATGGTTTTGATAATCACAGATTGGCAGTTTCAACATCAACTTCAATATCTCTCCATCAGAACTCTGCAACTTAATTGAAGGCATGGTGCTCCCTCTCAAGGAGGCTGCAGGCCAGAGGCTAACAAGAGAAGAGCAGCCTCAACAACAAGAAGAGAAAGGTGGAGAACAAGACCACTCGGCAAATTCTCTTAGAATTGCCTTTTGCACCGCTGCCAACCATCAAGTTGCCATCAACTCCCATCCATCAGAATGGCTACTATCACAAAACCCACAAAATAACAAAAAAAGTTAAGCACAAATCCCCAGAAGATAAAAAGTGTTGGGGAGGATGTGGGGACACTGGAATCCATGTACTTCTGGGGGAAATGTAAACTGGTTCAGCCACTGTGGACCATAGTAGGGGGGTTTATAGAAAACTAAAAACAGTATCACCACACAATTCAGCAATTCCACTTCTGGGTATATGCCCATGATAATTAAAATCAGGGTATACAAGAGATATTTGTACATCCATTTTGGAAATTTTTTACTTACATTCAATTCAGTTAACATGTACTGTGTTATTAGTTTCAGGGGTAGAGTTTAGTGATTCATCAGTTGCATTTAACACCCAGTGCTCGTCACAAGTGTCCTCCTTAAAGCTCGTCACCCAGTTACCCCATCTGCTCACTCACCTCCCCTTCAGCAACCCTTAGGTTCTTTCCTAGAGTTAAGGTCTCTTGTGGTTTGTCTCTCTCTCTCTGATTTCATCTTATTTTATTTTTCCTCCTTTTCTTTACAACCCTGTGTTTTGTTTCTTAAATTCCAGATGGTATTTGTCTTTCAAATGTGAACATCGCAATGTCTCTCTTCCCCTCTGCCCTCTCTCTCATAAATAGATAAAATCTTCAAAAAAAAAAAAAAAGAAAGAAAGAAAAGAAAAAGAAAGAGCTAATAAAACACTCACATTTTAGTGATTAGGAAACCCAGGCTCAGGAAGGTTAAATGACTTGCCTATAGGTCACATAACTAATTTGAGAAAAAGGTAGAACTAGATAATCCAGGTTTCCTGACTCACAGTCCATTGCTTTGTATTTTAGTTTATTTTTAAAAGGTTTTTATTTATTTATTTGAGAAAGAGAGCAAGAAAGCACAAGCAGGGGGCATGGCAGTGGGAGAGGCAGAAGCAGGCTCCCCACTGAGCAGGGAGCCCAACTCAGGGCTCTATCCCAGGACCCTGGGATCATGACCCAAGCCAAAGGCAGATGCGCAACCAACTGACCCACCCAGGTGGTTCTATTACTTTTTATAATATTCTCATAGGTACAGAATTTTAAAAACTGCTATTTAATGTTTTCATATAGAGTCAGCAAGAATTATACTCACTATTTTATATAATAATTTATTGACAACGGTTCAAACAGAAAGATTCATTAACTATATTAAGAAAAAAGTTTTAAGTACATTGAAGTAAAAAAAAAAAAAAACTATTGAAAAGACGTGAGCCATCCCAGAGAGTATGAAAAGGACATTAACTGGATCGGTATTTATAAGCAGGACACCCTTCTGTTATGTCACCCCAATATCTGAGCCTGATTGATTTCACAAGAAACATCAGCCCTCTGATGCAGGGGTTGACAAACTTACTATAAAGGGGGAAATGTTAAATATTTTTGGCTTTGCAGGCCATAAATTCTCTGTTATGACTACTCAGCTTTGCTACTCATGAAAGCAGCAAGAAATAATACATAAACAAACAGACAATGCTGTATCGAATAAAATTTAGCATTTTATTTTTGACCTCCTTCACTTTGGTGAGTGCTTCCTTTATGAGGCACATTTAAAAATCTGTCAGCAAGTTATTTCAGGTAAGTATCTGTGTGTGTGCGTGACACTGAACTATAGTTTGTTTTTATTTGCTCCTACGAGCAGGTGTGAGTCAGGGTATATACCCTGTTGTTGCACATTTAGATGGTCTCAGATACTTTAATATTTAATCCCATTAAGAAATTTTCTGAGCATAGGGGCGCCTGGGTGGCTCAATGGGTTAAGCCTCTGCCTTCATCTCAGGTCATGAGGGATCCAGCCCCGCATCGGGCTCTCTGCTTGGCGGGGAGCCTGCTTCCCTCTCTCTCTCTGCCTGCTGCTCTGCCTACTTGTGCTCTCTCTCTGTCAAATAAATAAATAAAAATCCTTAAAAAAATAAAAATTAAAAAGAAAAGAAATTTTCTGAGCATAGATTTTTGTTGTGGATACAAGTGAACATATCCTTACAGCAAATCAAAAGAGGTATAAAATAGTGTGAAATACTACATCTATTCACATTTTATGAACATTTATTTTGTGCAAATTTTGTACCAACTTCTTTCATACATCAATAGGTCTATACACAAACCCAATTCAGATTTTGAAACTCTTAGAATACAGAAAAATGTGCTGTGTGCCTAAACATTTGAATATGAAGGAACAGAAATGTTCATTCTCTGATGTCTCTTTGGTTGGTTTATAACTATGCTTCTGTGCTCTCTTCAGCAGCACATATACTAATATAACTATGCTGCTTCAGTACGAAGAGCTGGATGAAAATGGTCATCACACTTACCTTAGAGCTGACAATATGTTGAGTCTAGTGTCCCTAACTCTTCAAGATAGCTTTCAGAAACATGATAATTAACCTAATGTTGATGGATGTCTGATATTTATACAATATCAAAATATCCTCTTCTGTATGCCTTTCCTTATAGTACTTTAAGGTTTCTATTATAGTGATTTGACCTGACATTGCTTTGAGAATATATCTGTCTTTATCTCCAAGTTCTTATCCATTTTAATCATTGTATCATAGGGAGTGATGTCAACATTGTACTTTGTACATAGGTTACTCAATTGGGTAACTTTTTAAAGTGTTTATTCTGATTACAATGTTAATAGTGAATAATCCAGACTCTGTCAGGAATTTTATGCTCTCTCCTTGGTAACAAGTGAAACAGAAATCTTCAGAAGGAAGAGGAAAGTGTTAGCCACTGCATCTGAAAGTTCTGATTCCAGCTAAGCACGCAGGGCCAATGAATTTTCAGAGTTTGAGATAAATTGGTACAGCAATTTTAAGCATCTTTTGAGCAAAGCTAAGCACTGTAACCGAATAGTGGTGTTTTCAGGTTCTCTCTGATCAAGTATTTAATTGTTTTACTGCCATACAAAAACACAAAAACCAAACACGTAGCTTTCAAAAATACATTACTTAGAGTGGTAATTCTGACACAATGTTTATATAAAGAACGATGGTGATATTTTACCTGTAATTGAATTCTTTGTATAAGTACATTCTAGATTATAAATTCCTATCTCTGAATGTATTTTCTTCGAGATTACGTTGTATTCTGTTCTATTGTTTGTGAGGTATGTGCAAATCCAGTTGTGTAGAACCATGCAATATGTGTTTACAATACCGTCTCTCCTTCTGTCTGCATCTCTTTCCGATTCTTTCTGAATGCTCTGTCTCTTTTTCCATCATACGCAAATGTAGGTATGTTTTTAAAATGTATGTATGTTTTTACAGTACTTTAAGTCCTATTAAGCTCAGACTGAGAGGCCTTTTGTAACTCTGACTGATGCCAACACACAGTCCATTATTTGACCTTTGTATATTAAATCATGATTTCCTTTTTATGATAATGTGAAACTGAATTAGTATAAGCTATGTAATTTCAATGAGTACATCATTTATTCAATACTTACTGAGAAGTCCCATGACCATGTCTTATGATAAATCCACCCCCGCCAACTTTTTTTTTTTTTTTAAGATTTCTTTTAAAAATTGCTAAATGCTTGGGACTCCTGCTTGGCTCAGTCGGTAAAGCGTTCAACTTTTGATCTTGGCTCAGGTTGTGATCTCTGGGTGGTGAGATCAACCCCCATGTTGGGCTCTGTGTTCAGCAGGGAGTTGGAGCTTGCTTGAGATTCTCTCCCTCTGCTTCTGCCCCATCCCCTGCTTATGTGCTCCCTCTCTCTCTCTCTCCAATAAATCAATAAATCTTTAGAAAAAAATTGCTAAATGCTTGGTCTTTTTCTTTTTAAGATTTTATTTACTTATCTATATTTGAGAGAGATGAAGAGAGAACATGAGCCAGGGGAGAGACAGAGGGACAGGTACAAGCAGACACCTGCTGAGCGATAAGCCTAGTCCCAGGACCCCAAGATCATGACCTGGGCGGAAGGCAGACACTTACCTGACTGAACCACCCAGGCGCCCCCAGCCCACTTTATATACTTGGAAAGTTCTATGGGACAGTGCTATGTGAGCTCTGACATGAGTGGGAATTCAGTACTTCATAAATCAGAACACAGCAGCCGTTCAGCTGAAAGGTCTCACATTTATTACTGAACGAGTCTACTGCTGTAGAGGCACAGTAACATAGAAAAATCGTTTCCCTGACAAAACATGTCAATTGGCCAAGTAGGAGGGGTATTTACAGTTTGATAAGCTAGGGACATGTGATCTTCATGGAGCTTAAATATGTGTGCCAGTTATGTATGTCATCTCATGATGTGCAATGTCTTATGGGCTATAACCATAGCCTGGTTCTCCAGTGCCTCCTCTTAGAGTTGTACCTGATTTTATTATCAGTTTTCATCCGAATCCACTGGGGAATGGGGTTGTTCTGTTTTTGTTTCTTGGCCAGGAAACGCTTGATTCTGAAAGTCCTGTGAGACGATGTGGCAAGGAACAGTCAACCACACACACACTGGGACGGTGGTGAAAAGGAGAAAGGAGCTAAATGTTTGGTCTTGACAGGAAGTATGAGCTAACAGAGGATGGAACAGAAAACTGGCAGTTCTTTCACTGGGTTTATCCTGAAAGGTTTTTCTGAGCAACCTCAACTGAAGCTAGTCCTCTTTGTGGTTCTTCTGATCTTCTTTATGTTCATTTTGCTGGGAAACACCACCATCATTGCATTGTCCCAACTGGGCTCGTGTCTTTAGACTCCCATGTACTTTCCCTCTCCAGTCTAAGCTTTCTGGACCTAGGTTACACGACCAGCACCGTCCCGTGGTGCCTGGCTAATCTCAGGACACCAGACAAATCTATTGTGTTTGGTGGCTGTGCAGTTCAGCTACTCTCTCCAGGGCTGGGAGGCACAGAACGCATTATCATAGGGATCAAGGCATTTGGCCTCTATGAAGCCATCCACAGGTGCCTGCACTACACAGTGATCACGCACCCTGTCTCTGTGCCCTGCTGGCTTCTGCATCGCGGTCCTTGGTTTTGCCAACTCCTCATTGCAGGCAGGGCTCATCTTCCTTGTAATAGTTTGTGGAAGAAATAGACTAAATCACTTCTTTTGTGAGGCACCCTGGCTGCTCAAGATTGCCTGTGTTGACACCACTGTGTATGAGTCAGAGAAATTCTTTGTCACCATGATCATTCTCCTTATACTGTGGCATTAATGACATTCTCCTACAGTCAGATTGTCTTAAGAAGAAGGTCAGCTGCAGGGTAGAGGAAAGTGTTTTGGGCATGTGGTTCCCAGCTCACAGTGGTCTCCCTGTTCTATGGTACGACCATCTACTCTTACCTTCAGCCCAGCAACAACTACTCCCAGGATCAGGGCAAGTTCATTTCTCTCTCCTACACCATCATCACCCCCGTGGGCGACCCCCTCATATATACGCTGAGGAAAAGGGTGTGATGGGATCTAGGAAGAAGATTCTTTGGAGGGGCCATGACTCCAGATGACTAGATGGGGAAGACCTTTTGATGGAAAACTTTGAATACCAGAGCCATTAGGATGTTTGTGTCTTGCACACATCACCCACAATTTCCCTTGACAACTCTCAAGGGAATTTCCTTACCTCATTTTTTAAGTGTAAATGGGTGCTCAAAATAGAAGTTCATGGATTCATGCGGCTTCCCCAGATGGTACCTTTGTTATAGCTGATGAGCCCGTATTGACCCATCATAATCCCGCATCCAGAGTGTATCCCTGTGGTTCATTTATCATGCTGGACATTCTGTGGTTTTGGACAAGTGAATGATTACCTGGACTTACTGGTTCCCTGAAGTCTAATTGTTTAATTGATGCCTACAATTATGTGTCTAGTGAGCATCTCAAATTTCACATGGTCGACGCTGCAAGCCACCACTCAAGGACGATCCTCTCAGAAGCTTCCCATTTCCTCCTTCCCATTCCCTCCCACTCTATCCTTCAGGTTTCCTAGAACAACACCAAGGACATATGCCACACTTCTCTTCTTCAGAGCCCACACAAAAATCTCTCTTGCTTTTGTCGTCAAATACATCAGAAATCCAAGGGATGCTTTCTACAACCTCGGAAGCTATCATGCTGATGCCGGCCACCAAGGTTTTTCTAAGTGCCATGGACTCACCCTGGTCTCCCTCCTTCCTCAAGGGACTTTTTAAAGGTGTAGGTCAGATAATTTCTCTTCTCTGTTCCAGCAGGCTGATGATTTTCCAAGGCTTGCTAGAAAATGTAGAGTTGTGATAATCCCCTTTGGGCCTGTGCTCCAACACAGAGGCCTTTTTCCTGCCTGATGTCATCAGTCCCTCTGTTCTCCCTGGCCATGCTGCAGACACCATCCCCACGGGGGTCTGAAGGGACATTTGCTTCCCTCTTCACTGAGTGCTTTCTGCCTAGCTATCATCAGATCTTTCTCCCTCTTCTCCAAGCCTGGCTCAGATGACCTTTCTGTGGAACCTACCTGACCACCAACCACCCCACTTTTTCATGCCTCCCCACATTCATATCCATGGGACATGTTGTCTCTCTCTCCTGTCATCGTTTCCTGTCTCTTGTCATCAGACCTTTTACAACATGTCCTCAGCATCTTGAACAGTGCCTGACATGTTCAGACTCTGGGGGAAATCTACTTTCCAAGAAGTCAATAGGTAGGGTCAGTCAGAGAAATGAAGCCACTAGGAGACAGATATTAAGAGATCTGTTGCAGGGGCTTGGCTGGCGGGATATCGGGGATGGCTGGGAGTCAGAAATCCCTAGAATGGGCTGTGAGGCAGCCGAAAGGAGCTCGAAGGCAGGAGATGACCCTCTAACTCTGCACAGGTGTCTCTTGGGTTCTCTGCCTCTGGGAACCCTGGCTAATATAACTGTTCCTTCTGCTCAACATCCTCCTTGACACTTGCTATGGTCAGTCTAATTTTAGCCATTCTTGTATGGGTGTGATGGTATCTCATTGTGCTTTTAATTTGGATTTTCCAGAAAATAATACTATTGAGCACTCTTTCCTGTTCTTACTGGCCACTATTAAATCTTTTGTGAAGTATTAGTTTTGATATACACTGCCTTTCTATGATTGATGTATAGGAACTCTTTATTGATAAGTCTTTGTCAGCATGTGTATTGCAAATCTTTACATCCCATTCTGTGGCTTGCCTTTTCATTTCTTAATGGTCATGAGATAAGCAGAAATGTCACATTTTATGAAGTCCTACTGAATCCTTTCAAATGGTTAGCGCATTTTGTGTCCTACCCCAAGACTGACATTTTCTACATTTTCTTCCAGAAAATGTATAATTTTAAGCTATGATTCATCTCAAATTTCTAAATTCCATTTTTAATTCTAATAGTATATTTATAGACTATTTTGGATTTTCTATGTACACAATCCTATTATCTGTGAATAGTCTGATTCCCCTCCCCCCCAATCCTATACTTTTTGTGTTTTCTAGCCTTATAACTGGGTAGATTCTCCAATACTATGTTGAATAGAGTGGCAGTGTTTGAAGATTTTAATATACGTTTCCCAATATCTGATAGAAAAAGCAGAAAAAGCACTGGTAATAAATATGACCTAATTGACATATTTGGAACATTACAAAATAAGTGTAGAATATGCTCTTTTCAAATGGTCGTAGAATATTTACCCAAATAGACGATATGTTGGGCCATGAAGCAAGTCTACAAATCTTAAAAGTCTGAAATATCATAGAGATTATATTCTTAGACAACAGGGGAATTGAGCCATAGTCATAACGAAAAGAAAACTAGGAAGTCTCTCAATGTTTAAAAATTAAACCTTGGAGCACCTGGGTGGCTCAGATAGTTAATTGTCTGCCTTCTGCTCATGTCATGATCCCAGGATCCTGGGGTGGAGTTCTGCAGGGGGCTCCCTGCCTGCTCGGCAGGGAGCCTTCTTCTCCCTCTCCTTCTACTTCTCCCCCTGCTGTGGTCTCTCACTCTCGCTGTCAAATAAATAAATAAATAATATCTAAAGAAACATTTAAACCTAACTTTGCTACATATCCCAAGTTTCAGAGAGGAAAATTCTCAACCTTTCCCACGTAGGGCTCATAGACAATGGCACGCTATCTGTGAAGAGTCCTCACTATCATAACCTCGACAGAAGTTAAGCCTCAAATCAGAGTTCTGCCTGTCCCAGCCACACCTGGCAGCCCTGGCCTGTGGTCCTCCCTCCACCAGCTACCCTTTCCGGTGGCCCTGAGGTAAGGGGACAACATGGCCACATGGAAATGTGGCCATCAATACTACCACACCCGTAGTAATGATGGTACTATTGTATTGTCCTCACCAGTCCAACAACATGATTTCTGAATGAAATATGACACAATAGCAGCTTCATGACCTTCCTTAAGCTTTGAAAATCATGTAGGGAATCATCTGTTAGAAACATGGATTCAATATGTGTTCTTTCTTCTGGAAAAGATATCGACCCAAATAATAATCATGGCTTCCTGAGCATTTGCTCTTGAGAACATCACACTGGCTCTTTGTGGAATTCTCCCTCTTAAACTTCTAAACTATGATGTAGATATTATTAGGCACATTAAAAAAAGAAGATTTTATTTATTTATTTGAGAGAGAGAGAGACCGTAAGAGGGGAGAGGTCAGAGGGAGAAGGAAACTCTCTGATGAGCAGGGAGCCCGATGTGGGATTCAATCCCGGGGCTCCAGGATCATGGCCTGAACCGAAGGTGGTTGCTTAACGAACCAAGCCACCCAAGCATTTGAAGGCACATTTTCTAGATGGTTAGACTGGGGCTCAGAGACGATTACGAGTCATATGATTTTAAGGTGTCAGAAACCTAGATGGGATCCCCAAACTGACTCCAAATCCCTTGTTATTACATGGTACTATTTCCCTCTTATCTCTGGTCTTCTCGATCCCGAAACATGTCAAGTATCAGAATTTTCTTATTGTGTGGCCAACTGGAATGAATTCAGCTGGACTTTTAACCTCTACCTCTGTCATGATCATGAAGATAATTATCTCAGTGGAGGACCGCTGAGTAAGATACTCAAAGCTCCCTAGGAATAGAGACATTCTAATATTTTTCTGATATTAAAGTTACTTACAAGAACTATCTTTTTGAAATTGATTCAGGCTCTGGTATGTTCAGAGTATGCTGTGAGATAGGTCTGAAATAGTATTTAAAAACACTCAGCTCAGCGTCTTCTACAAAGTGAGACAATGCTTATAAACATTGAGAAAATATTGTCTTATCGATGATTATTTACTTCCCAACCACCGTACTATTTGTATGTTATGATTATGACTTACATTAATCAAAATTTGCAGAGCAAAAACTTATACAGTGCATCCAGGGGGCACTTCATGTTTAAATTAGTGTTGTGACAATGAGCTACTTTATTTTATTCTATAGTCCGAGGGAATGGGATGTCTGGCAGTTCTAAAGTTCTGACTTTGTTTATTATTTTTTAAAGATATT